GGGGGGAAGCTATTCTCTCCTAGCCAATGTTTTCCCCTTTAGGGGTCTCGCAATGCCCACTAGCCAGTTCTACTTTACACTTCAAACTCCACATTTTATCTCCTCTCCTCCCCAGCCTACATTCCAGTCCCCATATACATTCCTAGCTATTTCCTATTCCACCTACATCCTACTCTGAAGGAGATCCCCATCAGGTCCAGGTATATATAAGGGAACAACAGGAGGGGCTGACATGTAGTTCTGTAATTTCTAATACAGGCATCTGTGAGGTACTGCTAAGCACACCCCAGACTGCAGTTTTACAGGGCATGCTCGGTATTTGTTATATCTTCAGTGATTTTATCTCCATAATTTCAAAAGTTCTGTTCATAAAGTTCTCATATAACAAGAAGTTAATGCATGCTCAACTTTCCTCTACCTGCGTAAGCTCGTAGGCTCGATAAGCCAACAAGGAGGTGACTTTATTTGCATTCTTTGAAACATGACACTCATGCTTTGGTGTTGGATCTAACACACTCTTTACTGTTGATTCCATTGCTTTCATACCAATGTGGTCATATATGCTTTTCATTTTTCCCTGTAATAAAGCAGAAGAATTGCAACCATAAGCTTTTTCCTGAAAACTGGAGAATTGTTTCAAATACCAAAGTAAGAGCAGGGAAATGAAAACAGGCCATTAAAAAAGCCATTTATAGAAGTACATTATTTTCATAACTTCCAAAGAAAACAAGACATTTTCACCTTTTATAAAAATTTATTATGCTTTATTTAAGCTCAGTGTCAACATTGGATTTTAAACCTGTTAGGGTTCTAGTTTCTCTATAAGCAGATAATTGTGTAAATGGAAGTTCAATAAATTAGGTTAAAACTATCTTTATTTTAACAGTAAGCAATATAATCCTTCAAGAATAAACAAGATAAAATTTACCTTTATTATTTTAAAAACAATCACATCTCCTGTTGCTCCACTTTCTAGAGGATTAGGCTGCAATAAATCAGCATACCTGGAGATATATACACCTGAGAAGAGTATAAAAAAACCCCACATATTATGCTGAATGTTATTAGAAGTTTAAGAAGCATTTCATGGGATTAAAGCTCAATGTATACCAAACAATAAACATACAACAATCTTTCTGCAATATAATCAGAGAAAGGTGTAAGGGCATGTTCACAATTTGCAACTTCAAGACAGCAGGATAACTGTTTACTTGCACCAACTGCAGTATGAAGCAGAGCAGGGACACTAGCTCAGTCTGAATGGAGCACACCCATATTACTGAAAGCATTGTGACCAAGAGGACAAGCCCTGCCCAAAGGCTATACAGATACTGCTTTCAGGTGGCTATTTAAACAGCTGACGTCCTTCTGTACAATGTCCCGTTGCACAATGTGGAGATAAGCAGTGAAGGTATGATTGAGAAATAAGGCAGGAAAACACTGGCATCCTCAGCAATCTTTCATCCTACACTGTTGACAAAAATTTACTGGTTTGGAATCATGAACTGACACTCAAATAGAAAGGTAAAATAATTTCTTCCTTTTCAACATTTCAACCATAATTTCATAGATTTGAGGCCTCAAACACACACTGTCACTTGTTGGTCTAGCTGACTACCTCAGATCAAATAAGTGTAAATTAAGTCAGGTACTCAGAAGAGCATCCATTTTGCTTAGGTTCCTCTCATTCCAACTCTGTATTTAACTGCTTGGATAAACTGGTCCAAAATCTTTATTGGCTGAAACAGTAAAAAGTTATATGCTCATATAGCTTTGTTTTCCCCACCCTTGATCTGTTCTGCTTTCAACACTCATATTGGAACCTCTGTATCATGTTACTCTTACAGAGGATGACAAAATTATTTCTCAATTTTCTATTTGAAAAGTTTTGCAAAAGGAACTTTGCATCCTGCACTTCTAAATCTCTTAACACCTCGTGGCTCTTCCAAGTCTTCAGTTTCTCTATGCTCTTCTTGGATTGGGGATTCCAGAACTTTAGTTCTATCTACTGATAGCTGAGCTACCATTTCTAATAGGTATTTCTGGCTGCATTTACATATATGTATGTATTAACACAGAGAGGCACACAGCCATAGATTACACTAGTTCTTTGGCCTCTGATTTATACTGGGAAGACACAATATATTGGTTTGACCTAAGCCAAAATGAGAATTAGGTCTTCCCTTTGTGAAAAGAATTCAAATGAACTAGTCAAAAACAGAGTTATGAAATAATGTTCTGATGTCAATCTACTTTGCTAAAAATACCTAGCTGTGATGTTCCTGCAGTAAATACAGAAAAAGGACTGAAAGTTTACACAACTCTATCACATTATCTACCAACTCATACTGAATAATACCAGCACATATAATCAAAAGATAGTTACCCATGGAAGGGCTGCCGAGAATTGTTATTTTGGAATGGCCCACCTGCAGCCCTTTCTCGCATATGCTTTGGACCTGAAGAGAACAGACATTTTTTTAAGCAAGTCTATCAAGAAAGCCAGAATATGAACAGAACAAACAGTAAGAAACAACAGTTACAGAATTTTGATTGAGCTGAAGAAACCCAAAAACAATCCGCCCCCCGCAAAGCCCTTGCAAACACCACCACCCAGAGGTAAGACTATTTGAATATTTGAATAAAGAAGACTATCTGAATTCCTACACAGACTGTTGAACTGTGCAAGTCAAACACTCAGTATGAAGCAGTTACACAGACTCACCAGTATCTTAAAAAAACCCCAAACCCAAACAACTCTTATTTGAAAAAGACGACAAAGCATTCTATATGCAGTTTTGGTTTCTTACCTGAGGTCGATCAACCATCAGAAATGCATAGGTTTCAGAAAGCTCTTTTTCTAGGCGACCATCAAATTTCAGCTCTCTGCGTTTTTCTGTGAACTATTATTTCAGAAAAGTTCTTAACACGTGTAGACACATTACTGCTGTCACATTCAAGTGTCAATGTTTTAAGGCCCTATCTATGTTAGCTGATCCAAGTGTACAAAAATAATCAAAAGATAATTCAAACGAGACTCTGGTATGCTAAAATTAAATTTCAAAAACACTGTACCCAGGGGAAATATCATTGGCTTAATCTGTCCAAAGATTTATTTCTTTGAAGGAAGAGACACTCTTCAAACAAACCTGTGCAGTAATGTTTTAGTGTTATATTTGTAGTATAACTATCTAGAAGCATCCAGCTTAATGCCTTCCACATCATCTTTGAAATTCCAGAAATAAGCCTTTTTCTCATCTTAGGAAACAGACCATTCTCTCTTACATTGTGCATGTACTTTTGCAGTTGCACCTCACTGCTACAGAGGTAGTTTTCATTGGTTGCAATACTCCTTAGCTATAACCATCAATCATAAATGTTATTGAAGCATTTCTTTTTTCTGCTATCGAGTCTACCTTACAGTTTCAAGATAATAATTACAGCAAAACAATTATACATTCTATTACTCCGTAAGTGAAGCTTTTTGGCACTGAAAATTTATTTCACAGTTATGAAAGCAAGCCAAGGCTGGATTTAAGAGACAACAGGTAAGGTACAGAAGTGCTTCATCCAAGCTGCTCCACTTACTAGCTCAAGTAATCAACTCTTTCAGGTACTTCTCAGAAAACAACAAAATTACAGAGACGATGTAATACACAGTACTAGAAAAATATTTCAATCTTAAGATTCACAGGAAGCATCAAGCCTTTCCAATAAGACATTGTAACTCTTTCCAGCTTATTAAAAATACATAAAAATTAAGAAACTTTTTGAAAACTAAAAATGCACAGAGACAAGCGGTACCAAATATAAATTTTCCTTTTGTCTTTTTTGAGTATCTGGCAGGTAAGATTTTATAAACTCGACTGAAAAATAGCTGCTTATGTTTTGGGGCATGTGAATTTGCAAATAAATATCAAGCACATAAGTAGAAAATAATCTCCAGGTTTTTGCCTCTCAACTCAGAAAAAAATCCCGTTAATCCCGACTTGTACCTTATTCATAAAGAGAAGTCACAAATATACTCACTTCCTTTTCCAACAGTTCACTATGAACTAAGCTGGCTCTCTTGTAATTAAAATTGGATGCTGAACTTGGTTCCAGGTAAGATGAATGCAGAATCTTCACAACATCCTCAAATTCTCGAGAGCCTACAGCTACTGGCTGAAAGAGTGCTATAAAAGAGAAAAAATAATAAGCGCCAATACACATCCGAAAAAAATTCAAAATTTTCCAGTTCATTGCCAGTTTGTGCATAAAGACGAATGGTTCATAGTTCTATGTAGAATACAAACACCTACAATATTTGAAAAAGATGGAACTTACGGTAGAAAGTTAAAAGTTGCTTAGAATTATAGCATGTTAAAAAAAAAAATCACATTTCTTTTTGCTTTTTTGGTATACTCTTGAACAACTAGTTCTCAGAAGTTAATAAGGGAAGCACCTCAAATCCCAATATAGGCTTTGAAAATGTATATGTATTCCAAAGCACTGTAATTAAACTCTTAGAATTTTAATTAAACTAATTAGCTCTTTTAATTAAGAACTAGGAACAAATTGTTCTAATAAAAACCTCAACAACAGTTTCATAGCTTAAGTCTCTCTCTAGAACCGTTACGGGGTTTTTTCTTTGTTTGCTTATGGTAATTAGGCTAAATATGAATAAATTCAATACTGTCTTAAGAAGTCCAATAAGCTATTATTAAAAAAAACACACTGCATGTGTTCATGCTTTATGATCTTATCCCTTACAATAACTGCTTTAAAAGAAAAGCCCTTCATCTGTTGTACAAATTGACCTGAGCAAATCTTTGCCTAAGTTCTTCACCCAAGCTTCTTTAGTTGTGTTTTGGTACTGACAGTGACAAACTCATCACAAGATCAAGGCGAGAGTGGGCCAGCAGCGAATCTGAGCGCAGATTTTGAGAGTAATGTCTAGGAAAATAATACTCCTGGGGGAACTGAACTAGCTCAGTAAAGCAAGTGGTTTTCTCCCTGGGGTAACTTTTAAAATACTCACAAAAAGTGCAGTATTTTTGTGGTATTGGCAAACTTCAGACAGAAAGGATTCCCAACAGATATTTCTGAGACTGCTTTTGCTTTTTTTGTAGGAGGGCCTATTTTTCTCCAGCAAAACAAACCCCCAAACCACCACCACCTAAAATCGCTAAAGTTACAATAGTTAGGAATGAATTACAATAGTACTAGTCTCACATAAAAGAAAGTCTACCATTATTCTAACAGCAAATTAAATTAATTACATCTTTACAGTATATCTCCAACTTCATGAAATAATATGGTAGCAGATTTAGATAGTAATCTTTTCCTCATTTGCAGGAAATATTTATTGCATTAGCCTCAATATAAAACAAATGTTCTAAATGAAAACTGAACTGTGTTATCTAGTAAAAGCTGCATTTACACACACACACTTTATAATGTAATACCACATCTGCAAACTAAAGCAATGATTCCAACATCAACAACAATGAGTAAGTGATTTTTTAAGAGTGGAAGTTATGAAAGTGATTAAGAAACTGTTGTTATATAACCTCCTTTTAAGTAACAACGCCTTCATTCTTGAAAGGCTGACAGCAACATGGGAGGAAAGACAATTGGAAGTGAATGAAATTCTCAACTTAGTTTTACTAAGACTGAATGTGCTTGTACTGAAGGGAGAAACTTACTAATAAAATATAAAACAAGCCTAGGAGAGATAAACACACACTGGAAAAGCACCTGTCCCATCCCATCCCCAAACACCTCCGATCTTTCTGACAAGGAGTTATTAAACCCTAGTGTTGTAGTGCATGAGTTTCAGGTATTGACTGCTCCTCTTCAGAACATTACCAGCTACTTGTCCAAATTTCCCTGTTTCCTTAACAGTCACTACTGCACCTCACCCATTCTCCCTCCTTCCGCCTAGAAACGCATGCTCAGTCAAGTCCAGCTTACTTCTTCCGTCTTGAGTCCAGGCAAGTTGAAAACTCCACAGGACTAGCTATGAAGTGACCACAAACTATGCACAATGTCTTGCCTACTTCTCAGATGCAAATCTAGGACCAGGCATATTATTACATCAATTAAGATCCTGTCATTCATTCAAACATTGTCAACTACATTCCCACTTGTGTTTAAACATTTCCTACTTTGTGAAACGTTCTGATGAGCGAGCTGAGACAGAGCTGCTCAAGAACAGCAGGTCTCCCTATTCTTTAGGTAGGGAGAACCTACAGAAAGTACTTTACAATTAGCTCTCAGCAGATTTAGAGAAGAGCTCTACCTAATGCTTTAAATTATGGAATACAGCAAATGAGAGATTTTTTTTTAAAAGATTGTTGAGATTTTTTCCTTCAATTTCTTAGCAGAGGACTGAAAGTACATTTTGCTACTACTGTTACTTATTATTCAATAATGTATATACTTTCTTGTACTTCACCAAACATATACCCCAAACATCATCTAAGTTCACCAGAGATACTGCTGAAGCTAGAAGCACTGTTGCTACCTTTGTATAAGTACTTGGCCACAAAAGTCACTTCTGAGATTGCAATTTTTCAGTTTGAGAACATCCATAACATTAAAACAAGACTGATTCTACCTAACTGATCTACCTAGTCCAAGAACAAGACCTTACATCTTCCTTTTAGTAGGAAAATACTTAATAATCCAAAAACTTCATGGTAAATAAATTTCTATTCCTTTGATGTGCACTGCCCACTCAATACACAGTGAAGAACAGCAACTACACATATAATCTTGCCTTAGTTTACTTCATGCATAAATTAAGAGCGATTGGCTTCATGATCAGCTGTCATCCATTGACTGAGAAAAAGGAACGAGAGTGAAATTTGTTGAATGTATAATCCTAACACATTATTTATGTTTTGAAAAGTACTTATAAACACAAAATTTTATCCTGTCTGTCCAACATCTTTTCATATACAGTAGTGGCAGACAATCCATTTAGTCTGAGAACTACACAGCACCCACTAAGCATTTATTATTCAGGGCAGCCTGCTAATTTTTTTATCTATTGATTTCCATTTTTGAGTTGCCAAATGACGGAGGGAGCAAGGAAAAAAAAGTCACTTAGTTTTGAATTTCAGGTAAATTACCATGTGCAACAGTCAAATAATTTAAGTGTGTAGCATCAGCTTTTTTCCCCTTGTTCAAGGATGACTCTTCAAACACACTAATCATATGCTTCACGACAGGCGCTAATCCACTTTCGCAGATATTCCAGAACTTGAGGCACTTCAGTCTTCAGGCTCTTTCTAAAAACCTGAAACATTACCTACTGAGTTAACTAACAATGCAAGACTTTTCAATTTGCCATCTAAGCACTGGTGCTGCTATCTTGTGTTAAGGTCACTATAGAAGGGCCTGTACCTCACTTAACAAAGGAATTCAGAAGCAAGAAAAAAAACCTGAAAAGCACTAAACTAGACCTTCTATAGCAGTCACCAAATCCTATGTTCACAGGCAAAGGATGAGATTGTTAAGCTTATCTCCAGTCCTACCTCATTTCACAGACCAGCAGTGTGTGCATATGTATTTTTCAGGCTCACTAGACAAACCTGATGTGGGTGTGCTGCAGCTTTATTGGACCCGTATAAACGAAACTGTCATTTGTGTAAGGACTAACTTGCAGTATAACAAGTCAATTATTGTGGTTTCTGCTGGCTTGTTTTACAGAAGTAAAAATAAGTAAATAAATACTGGTTTTGTTTAGTTTCTACCCAGTATACTGGAACATATGTATTTTTAGGTGGAAACTAAGATTAGCTAATATAATATCTCTAGGAACAGACATTAGACTGGATGGTCAGATCCATGTAATTCCTCATGGGCTTTAAGTTTCTCTTTTACAGCTGTCTGATGCTTCAACTTGAGA